ACCTTAAGACATCTCACCCCCTAGACCCATTTTCAAAGCTCAATTTCCCCGCAGAACAAAGAGTTGAAGCGCTGCGAACGGAGGCGTTGAAGCCACCTCGTCGAGAGCTTTCCGAAAACGTATCGGATCCTTCATGATCCTTGTCATCGTTGACTATTCGAGCTTTGAGAATAGGTCAAGGGGGTGTGGTATCTTGTGTCAGGTGCTGTTAGGGTCATTCTACTGAAAAAAGAGTGGAATTAACATTGGACGAAGATCAATCACGCTTGGAAACAAACAACTGCATGTCTCTCGGGAACATGATGAGGTTGTTGTACCTAATCGCAAGAAAAAATACACGACTACTGTATAAGCCACAATGAATCTCATCCGTCGTCTTTGACGCCAACAGCGGCCGCCCAATTCCTTTGAATGTTCCTCGCCGGTTAGGGTGAAGAAAATAGAATGGAAAACAAAATTGTTGAATCTACATAAATCGCCACAAAAATTGCCTGTTCACCGAGTACTCATACAAGCTTATTTAATCTCACCCGTTGTCCTTGACTCTAACAGCGGCCGCCCAATTCCTGTGTATTTTCGTCGTCAGTTAGGGTGAAGAAAATAGAATGGAAAACAAAATTGATGCATCTACATAAATCGCCACAAAAATCGCCTGTTTACCAAGTACTCCGTACAAGCTCATGCTTATCTCACCCGCTGTCTTTGACTCCAACGGCGGCCGCCCAATTGCTCTGTATTTTTCTCGTCAGCTTGGGTTAAGAAAATAGAATGAAAAACATTTTTTTTGCATACAAAAATCGCCTGTTTACCGAGTACTCCGTACAAGCATATTTCAATCTCACCCGTTGTCCTTGACTCCAACAGCGGCCGCCCACAGCTTGGGGTGAGACTCGTCAGGGTCCAAGGTGCGCTTTAACACCTCGATGAATCCCTGGTACTGCTCCACAACGCCCACGACGTAAAACGTGTTGAGGTGGTCCACTGCCGTCTGGACCATTGCCGACATCTGTTGGCGTTTTTTTTAAGACGTACAAGCGCAGCGAGATGACGTCAAAGCATGAGAGTAATAGACCGTTTTATCAGCGGCGAGATGGTGCTCTGTAGTTCGACCCATGAGTAACGAGATAACGTCAACGATATGACGCTTGTGGTTACAGACCAATCAGCGACGATATGGTGCGGCTAGGTAGGCCAATCAGCGAAGAGATGACGTCCATGACAAGAAGCTTGTGGCTTAGACTAATCAGCGGCGAGATGTCAACGATATGGTGCTTGTGGCAATAACCGAATCAGCAACGAGATGACGTCAACGATACGGTGTTCGTGGCTTTAGAGCAATCTCCGACGAGATGACGTCAACGATACGGTGCTTGTGGCTATAGAGCAATCTCCGACGAGATGACGTCAACGATACGGTGTTTGTGGCTATAGAGCAATCTACGACGACATGACGTCAACGATACGGTGCTTGGCTATAGACCAATCAGCGACAAGATGGTGCCAACTAGACGACGCATGCGCACGGCATTCACGCGCGTGTTCTGGCTGCTCAGGGAAAAACAACAGCCCAACCCAACCAAGCTTTGTAACAAAAGCATGGCCATCTATGCATATCACGACCACAATCAGCAACATCACCACAGCAGTCAACATACGCTCCAGTCGACATTGGCCCTCCAATCTTCTTCGTGGCTACCAGGAAAAAAAAAAATCAACAACTAACCACTTCCGAAATAAAATCAACAAGGGTACCATACAAGATTTTCGTGAAGCTTTTCGTGCAAGCATCAATCGCACTTGACCAAAAAAGGCGTTTTGCTCACTACCGTACGTGACGTAAGATATCACACCCCCTGGACAGATTTTCCAAAGCTAGATGACTCCACAGCAGAAACAGTACAAGTGGAGGTGCCGAAAATGGCGGCGTTTAAACCATCTCGTCGACAGCTTTCCGATCACATTTTTCGTTTGATTGATACCGTACATCCTCTTCGTCGTGGAAAAATCGAGCTTTGAAAATCGATCCAGGGGGTGCGACATCTTATGCAACCTACGGTAAGATATCGCACCTCCTTGTACCGAATTTTGAAGGTCGATTTTCTCGGCGGGAAAAGCAGTGACGGTGCCGAAAATTGCGGCGTTGGGACCGTCTCGTCGAGTGCTTTCCGATGACGTATCGGTTGATTCATACATCCTCTTCGTTGTGGAAAAATCGAGCTTCGAAAATCGATCCAGGGGGTGTGGTATATTACGTTATTTCACCTACGGCAAAAACCCAAGCTCCAGAAAGGTTGCGAGTCAGCGCACAGGGGTGCGAGCGATTTTCTAAGCGCAATTTCTGCACAACCAGGAGGCTATGTACCACTGTCGAAAAGGGCGTTTTTGGAAATATCTCATCGAGAGCTTTCCCGAGAAGTATCAGTTGGCGTTCGCACCCTCATGGTTGTGGAGAAATGGCGCTTTGGAAATCGATCGCACCTCTGACTCGCAACCTTACGCTACTTGTTCCCTGACCCGTGTTTGCCTGCTCCTAGACCCAATGCTGCTTACTCACTCACTGACAGAGAGCTGCCTGCCCACCTCTTCGTCGCTGTACAGAACTTGCGGGTCGCAGCTGTTGGCCGTTTTCGGGGTGTGATATCTTACGTCATTTCACCTGCGGCAAAACCCCGAAGCTACTTGCTCCCTAACCCAACGCTGCCTGCTCACCTCTTCGTCGCTGTACATAACTTGCGGGTCGTAGCTGTTGGCCGTTTTCGAGTCCAAAAATCTTCGGATGAAAGCGAGATCCGTTGGGTCGGCCCACCTGTTGCCACATTTATTTATTTATTTTCATCAAGTTAAAAGCCATTTTCTGCGTCATTTCTTAATTGTTAGGGCCATTTTATGCAGCAGCTATTTCGCTTCCGAATTTCCAAACTTCCAAATACGTGGACCGTTGAACCACGATTTGCGGTCGAGGGCAATTTTTTTTAATTAGGAAAATTTGGAAACTACTGGGACGGAAAAATGTGGAACGAAATTGTTTTTAAACTTGCAACTCTGAAAAGTCGGAATTTGGAAAAACTGGAAATAAAGGGCAATGAACTAAAAAAAACTGGGCATAAAAAACAATCCCTAAACGAACACGCCCGGGAGAAATGTCGTGCGTGAGCTTCGTGAGACGGAGGTGCACGGTTGTCCTTGCGAAGCAAAATAGCAACATGCATCGACAATGACGACCACCACAAGATAAAAATGATAGAAGCAGCAGCAGTAGCAACCAAAGGCGACAATGACGGCAATAGCGACGACAGCAGCAGCAACAACAACAACACCAACACGACCGCGACAGCAACAACAACAGAACAAAAACAATACCAACACCAACACCAACACCAACACCAACAACAGAACAAAAACAACACAGCAACAACAAAACCCAACAAAATTCCCTTCCAACACCACCCACTTGAGACGGCTCCTCATGCTTTGACCCACGAAGGCGACGGAGTCATCCAGCGTCTTCGTCTCCGCCTTGTGCATGAACTGCTGGGACGACACGAACAGCTCCAGGGGGTTCCGCAGCGTGGTCACCATCAGGTAGGGTGGGGTCACGTAATGCCGGAAATCTGACGAGCAAACAAAATAACAACACGACAACACATCACGCGATCATTAGAGAAAGGTTGGAAAGCGGTTCAATAGTTCGTGTGTACACAGACACAGAGGGAAGAGAGCGCTGCTCTCTTTCAGCATTTAAAATCGAAGGCAAAGTATATACCGCAGGAGGGGTCGGTAGGGGGCCTCAGGGAGAGGAACCCTTGTGTGTGACCAAAATGGCTCGTAAACGGGTGCAAGCTGTCGGCTGGAGAACTAGCTTCGTTTGGGGGTAGGTTTGTTTGGGAGTTGGTAATGTTTGAGTCTATGTAGCGGAGTATCATAGGGGGGGGGGGGGGGGGGGGG